GAAATACTTGGTTATACGTAATGTGCAAATTTATTATCAACTCGTTCGGGGAAACCGTTGTTTAATGGAAATAAATATAATCAGCTTTCAGGATGTCTTAAGAACTGCGAATTGGATTAAACAGCTGTATATTTAAGGAGATGGTACTATTTACGATGGCGTATATATCACCCACCCACCATACCTCTTTGTGTAAACATACAAAAAACATCACTACTGAAACATAGTACGTCACAAGCAACACAATATTATTCGGAGAACAACGCTTAATAAATTTAATAAATTTATAGAGTATAATAGTAAACCCAATTATACTGACTGTCATAAATTATCGAAGAAAAACTCAATTTGAATGAACGTTCATAAATATTTTCAGTGTAGCACAGTCTTCTTGTCACTTGCTATTAAATATCATTTTGTTAAGAAAAGCACGCAAGTGCCATTTCATTTTTTCTTAATAAAAATTAAATTAAATTTTATTATATTTTTAATAGGCCTAATTCTTGACAAATCAGGGAAGACATATTCTTATTACATTGCAGATTTATTCATTTCCTAAAGAGGTTGATTGAATTTGATAGGCCTACATCTTCTTTTGTACTAAAACTTCAATAATTATTAAAATCAATTTTCATTTATTTTTGTTTAAAATGAAATGGCACTTACGATTTTTTTTTCTTAAGGTGACAATATACAAAAGAAACTCTGAGATAATTTTTAAGTTGAAGAACGATTGGGAATATAACTTTTAACAGTTATGACTTCGGGCCGAGTTGATTAGGGGCCGAGATGATTTGGGTCGAGTTGAACTGCTTCCTGTAAAAGCAGCCGGGTTGTTAGTGAGTCATTATTATATCAATTTGGCTAACTTTGTTTTTCATCCTTTCGAAGAATGCGGAGGACCATTCATTATCAAACTCCTTTCAATCACACATAATGTCGTCATCGGTTTAGTAGATGTGAGAAATTAGAGTAATAATAATATACTTTTTTGAAAAGGCAGATGTCTTGTCTGTAATTTACAGCTGTAACACTAGGTAATGTTTTGCGATTAGTTTAGAAAAGATAGTGTAATTCTTAATATCGGTCATCCCGGGGTGATAATCTATATTGGTTTATTTTAAATAAAATGAAATTAATATTTACTACTTTAATACACATTTATAGTTCTTGCAAAGTACCACGGTGGTCGGCCACTCTCAACTACCAATGAAAATCAGGTCTAGGCGTATCTAGGTGTCTATATTGATACCATAATAGACTGCTATTTTGCCAAGAATCCACTGCTTCATAAAACTAAGTTACATCATATAGCCGAATACAAAATATAAGATACGCTACGATGCGCAACATGCATTCATAATATAATAATAATAATAATAATAATAATTTATTAGACATTTCACTTTTATAACAGTGGCAACACACACACAATTAAGTGGTGCAGTCAATCTTAAACTAAGAGAACAAATTGCTCTTCTCTTATTAAAGAAATATAATCAATTTAGACAAGGCTTAACAAAAGTATCTACGAAAACTAAAAAAAAAGGATAAAACAAAAACAAAAACAGGCATTAAATACAGTAGGAAAAAATTGCTTGTGTTAAAGAAAGCACATTTAATTTACACAAAGCTTAACAAAAGTATCAATGAAAAACAAAATTAGAATTAAACAAAAACAAAAGGCTTAACAATTAGGCCTACGAAATACAGAAGAACAATGAAAAGTAACTTAAAGCAACAATGTAAAATCAAACCAGATTCAAATATGAACGCTTCTCCCAAGCAAGTTTTAAATAATTTTTGCAATACTTGTCAAATGCTGTAAAAACCTCATCACAAAGATCAGTGGTTTCTCCCCCAAGTACAAGCTGCATTTCCTCGTTAATATTGATTCGATAAATTTTTCGGTAATTCTCAATCACAATAGACCTTTCAGGAGTGTCAATCAAACTTAACAATCGACTAACCAGGGCATGGGACATGGATAACATTCCATTTCCACAAATCCGGGCCTAGCTAGGCCTATCTATGCTAGGTTAAGCCTAGTAGGCCCTCCTATCCTAGGCCCATGTCTAGGCCTAGGGAGGGCCAGGCTAGGGCCTAGGGAGGGCTAGGCTAGGGCCTAGGCCTAGCTAAACGCAAGTATTTTCGTAGGCCTATACATTTAAGCTCTCATAATTTGATGGGGCTTAGATTAACGGTCTAGTGTAAAAGCTTTTGGTAGGCCCGTATTCATCCTTCTATGTTATAGTATTGTTTAAATTTAAACATCCACACATTTTTACATGTTATTAAATAGGATGCTACTTGTTGTCTCATTTTGGCGCCCCACTGACCATGTGAATGTGTAGTACACACGACTGTCACGTAAACATAAGGGACCTAATGTGACGCATTAAAACGCTGTGACGCTTGTCGTCTTAAGTAGGCTTGGGTTATACTAACATTTCATTTACACATAATACGTTTTAACATTGTTTTTGCAGACGTCATTAAAGAAATTGTCGATGAAATTCGTAGCATACGTGATGCTATAGTGTCGGCTGATTCAGGTAGGCATGTGCTGATTAATACAGTTTTACCGAACATTTTTAGTGTTTGCGTATTCCGTAGTCCGTAAATTTTAATTGAATTTAAAGACGTTCATATGGTAAGGGAATTTAGAGCTATTTTAGAAAGTTTTGGTTACAATGTATTATTATGAGTGAAGATGTAGAGTGGCGATACTCGGCTAGAATCTCAAAGTTTTGAGTTTAGTCCTGGTAAATTGCGGTTTGGGCCTGCAAAGGTGAGGTCGGGGTATTTGGCTCGTCCGTCAGTATAGTAAAGCAGTTACTCTACATTGTCCTCCTCTACCAAAGAGTATAAATGTGTAGGCCTATTTGATAGAATTTAATACCAAGCTGTGAGTGTAGTCGTCGCTTATGGAATAATGGAGTTGAGGATGTGTTTCGTAGAAGTATGACCCAATGACCGACCGAGAGTAATAATGTAAAGCATTTTTATCTTACCTATTAGTAGATTAATGTAGGCTAATGATTTTTTGACTTTTATAGATAGTGCATCAAAGTCATCAGATTTGCTAGATGGGTGACGTCTTTTAATATCAATAAAAATTCTAATAAATCTTAAACATGTTATTGATTTCGCCTTTAGATTCAAGGAAAAGTAGACAGGCACTTGCCGACTCTCTGACAAATGTATTATATGAACTACAAGCATTTTTATCTCATGATTCAAGTAAGATATTATATTTATGCATATAAATGTCAAGATGCAAAATGAAATGTATAGACTAAGCATAATTTCTACAAATACACTCATATCAATATATACGTATATATATACACATACACACATAATATTTGCATATAATGTATACTGTATGTACATATATAGGGCCTGTGTTTGTATATGTACATGGATGTATTTAAATATATGTATTTGTATATATATTTCTATTTGTATATATATACATATATATATATATATTGTATCAATAGGAACACAGTTATCTATCAATTTGTTTGTATAGTGTAAACGTTGCTACGCAGCAGACTTAATTTGAATAAGCCTATATATATATATATAATATATATATATATATATGTATATAAATGTATGTGTATAAGTGTATGTATATGTTTATTTGTATATATCATCTTTCACTTTTTTAGAGGTATTTTAGTAGATTTTTCTTTTTTATAATTCAAATAGATTACTTGGGCTTTCCTGTAGAGCGTGAAATAAATCCGTTATCAGCGATTAACATTGCTGAAATCTATGCCATGTTGCAACATGCACGAACGATCATGAAAAGTGCAGAACCTGTATAATTCGTCGAGTGACAATGACAACGCAACTAGGCTGTCGTCTTTTAAGAAAAATAATACATCCATCCACAAACCTTTAAACTGTGCGGGATATACGCAAAGAAATATATGTCACGAAACGCGCTTAGAACAGGTGACTCAGATATCCTTTGATTTAGATAACCGGCGAGCAATTACAATATTGAAGATAAGAGGAAAAATCAATATTTATGGTCAATAACTGATTTTCTAGCAGACGAACATTAACCGCAAACTATTTGTAATTGTGCCATATTGTTTCAAAATTACCTTACTGATTGAATATGTAAGTGATTTGTCACATACGATATGTTAAAACAAAAGCATTTTACGTTTACGTCGTCAAGGCGTGCCTACTGTACGTCTGTGCCTACCTGGATGACATCACTTAAGTCGCAATAAAGTATACCATCGATTAACACTTTCTGATCTGTGTCATTGCAGCAATTGTTCTAATCATACTCTGTAGACATGACATTTTATAGCGAGACCAACCGTAGTAGATACAAATGCTTTCAGTAATCCAATTCCTGTTACTAAATCGGGGTACTTTTATACTCTTATCGCCAAGACGGCTCGCGTTAACAATATACATATTAGATCAAGCAACAGGGAGACGATCCGTCGCATTTATAGAATCCCCGAGTTCAACATATTACAGGATATTGTTTTAGTTATTGATTAGTTCATTATTAAAGATTTCAACCCAGGCCTACATGAACTAATAATGGTATAAAGTATACGGTATGTGGTTGATTTCATCTCCAACAAGCGTATTAGGCCTATGAAATACTGAGCATAATACGAGTTGGGGCATTTCTTATCGAATTTCAAACCGGTCTAATAATAATTACACTCTGGTTTTCTTTTGTCATACCCAGTCGATAAACAGACCTTCAGAGTGGATACAAAATAGCATGCAAACACGTTTAGATCTACAAACATAATAAATCTATTCAAATCATGCCGACTTGCAGTCCATCAGTGATTGAAGGAAATTTTCCTGAGGATACGCTCTGCAATCGCTATTTAATTCCATAATCAATCATCAATCTATTTATACCCAGAGGACAATTGCAACTTGCTTAATCGTTCCAACTGTACACACGCGGCGGCTATTCCTTTTGATAAGTGCTGCGACATATATTCAAGTCGTCATTATATTTAACATACAGGTGTAACTAAATGGTATGCTTAACAAATGTGTATTAAGAACAAGTGTACAGCTTGCTTCATTATTAACACTGAAACTGACTCTAATATTACGTTGTTCATTATCATATACTGGACGGATATTATTACTAATCTGGCATTGACTAACCAAAAACGAATTTTAATAACAATTATGCTGGTGTTCAGACATAATAATAACCATAAGCTTATATATGTTGAACTATATATAAACTTTCAACAGTAACAATTGCGTCTCAAAAAAAGTGTGTGTTTGAGTAGGTCTTGTTGTCATTGCGTTAAAACGGTCAACAGTGTTTGCAGCCGCCGAAACAAAGCGAAATCTATGAGACTTTATGCCACGTTGACCTTTTTGTTTGCTAATCAAGACATGTATATTTATACTCTTGTTAGCCATAACATGGTGTGGTAAATGGTAATATCTGCATTATTATCTCTGGCCATCTAAAATAATTACTGGGAATTTCAATGAATAGTGTGTATTACTGGGTTTAACTACGTTCCATTGTACGCAAATCGATTGCGTACCTGATGCGTGACCTGATGTCAACAATTGTACAATGAACTCAGATTGAAGATTGTTGATTGACTTTAAGGTCGTCATCATTTCTATGGAAGAACCCGCGGGTGTAAAGGCTAATTAGACTTGTTATGGCTCAACAAAACTGAAAACATTCAACATAATTAAAAACATAGCAATAACCACACAACTTTCAAGTCGTACCTTCATGTGCCATTCATTCAAGTCGACAACATGGATGCCGTAAAAAAACAATATTGAATCACTACAAAACTCACTTTTGTTTTTTTTAATACTGGTGATGTTTGCCACCGGAAAAAGCTCTTCAATTAATAACAGAATAACAGGGCAACGTCTTAAGAGTTTTAACCATGACCAGAACCCAGTTTCTAAAATAACTTTAAGAAACCACGTTACTTATGGATGCCACATAATGTGACAGTATAATTCTAATCTACAGCTATTTTTTTCGACTAATGAATGACTGTCAATAATCAAAAAGAGAATGAACTTTATTGGAGGTAGACAATTTCAATGAGATACAAAGGATGAGCTATATGCTATATCATAAAGCCGAATGTTGAGCCTTGCAAAAAAATGTTCACTGCGCAACAAGTAAAAAAATAATAAGGAAATCTTTTTTTCAACGTATCATACTGAGACCGGTTGATAGGGACAGTTATCCAAGGAGTCTTCATACTTATTAATACCATAATTTTATTAACTCCAAATCCCATATCATTATCATATTAGGAACAATTTACCATTTAGGTTTTCGTATTCAATGTTTTGTCAATGTGTACTTATTTGAGGCAGAATGATTATAATTAGACGTTAACAGTACAGTAGTGAGAAATCTGATTTCCGAATTTTAAAAAATTGCGTTAGACTTTTTGTAAAACCAGTTGAGATACGGAGATATTTCGGATATGAGCAGGGGAACTCCAAATTGGTACATCAACAACAAATTCTATGGAAAATCTTAATGAACGTCGAGTCGAATGGTCGAGCGATTAAGGGCACCGTAACCTAAAGCCAAATCGGCTGATTACGATCCATAACCCTATTTATGTAAACCCCTATGCTGGATTTGTTGGGCAGTAAGTGCCCAGGTACCAGATACCAGAACGACTGCATTGGCAACAACATCATCATCACAATCATCATCTTAACAATTTAATTCCTGGTTTCCAAAATCTCATAATACTCACAGTATGTCAAAACGCACTAATTATGCATACAAGGAACTCAAGTGTAAAACTCAGAGGTTATACTCCAGCCCTGTACCATCTATTGTCAGGATCCTTAATAGCAATAAATAATCAATCAAAGTGTGCGACGAGAAAAGCTAACTCACTCTCTCACTCTCTCAGAAAGACTTGGCAGAACTTCCCATGTGTGTTTTTCTGCCTTCCCTTGTCTTCCATTGTTTCCTTATATCGTTCATGTCATTTGTTAGCGTCCCTTGTACCGTCCTGTCACTGTAGCTTAAACATTTTTATTTGAATTTATCTTCATAGTTTTTGATGTTCTGATAATTGTCCATTGTAATTTGTGCAATTAAAAATTTCACTTCCGTTTTAAATGTCTTTTTAAAATCTTTTAAATCTTAATTTTATAAGAACTTTTAATGATTTAATTACTTCACTTGTTTATATATATGTAATAATTAAGAAAATAAATATATAATAATTATAGTAACAATTAAATAATAATGGCAATAGCAATTACAATGAATATAAAAAATGATTTCCTGTTTAATGTACTATTTTGTTAACTTTTTTCTCAATTCAGTTCTGCAAACTCCCATGAAAAATGTTTATTGAATGAAGATACCTTTATATAATTATACATCATCATCATCATCGTCGTCGTCATCCGATGATAGTAGTTATCGTTATTATGTCATCAATCTTCGTTATTCTCATCATTACTAACACCACTCGTTATATATGATCAAGATTTTGCAAGATGGTATAATTATGAGAACTGTTTCTTGGCGCCTTATTGTCATTCTTTTGCATTTTTTAGATCAGTATCTAATAAATGTGTAAACGCAAAACTTGACATAAAATCTAACAAAATAGACAAAATACATATAGTTCCCTATTAAGTATCTTTTAATTAAACTTACAAAATGGAATTTCATTTCAGATCTGATTATTTTTGAAAGTGAATTGCATAGTGTACATACATTTATAATAATATTGTAATCACCATCATAATTATCCTCATCGTCACCATTATTATCATCATAAATTAATTATCATCATGTGCATCATCATCATTATCTATCATCATTATCATCATCATCACCATCATCATCTGAAGATTAACGATCACAATGTAAAATGCTGCAAGTTTAAAAGTGTATAACCAACTATTCTAACATCCTTAAAAACTATTTAAAAAAAATTGGATTACGGTTGCCTCCTTCGACTTTCTTTTGTTCGTCCTATTATTGTAGACATAAATGTATGTACTATCTGTTCCGTGTAGGCCCTATTACAGTACTTCGTTTGGACGGTGATGTATTTATATAAAAAATAGTGGTCAAGATGAATAACTTGGTGGTTAAGATACATGCTTCCAGTGGCAATCCCATTGCCATTGGTACTTTCAGCTAAACAGTAGATTGTTAATTTAGCAGCAAGCTGATTACATTACGTGAGAGGAGATTACCGTAAATGGACCTGTTCACTCATTTCACAAAAAGCATGATAAACATGAATGTGTTCAACACATTAAAAATCTCCTTCATGAAAGTGGTTATACAAGTGTCAATGTTCAAAATCACTGTGTGTTCAGCCTGGGCTTGTAGGTCTACTGATTTTATTTCATAATGGTGGTCTCTTTAAAACGCTTGAACAACATACCTGAACGTGCTCCCTATAGCAATGCTTGGAAACAATTTAGAGAGGTTTTTGGAGTGTAACTAGTTACTGTAATAATTTGAATGTGCCACATTTTCGTAGGCCTATGAAAAATCTTAATAAATCATCCATTAATTGTTGAAATTTCCAAAGAGCATCTTAAATTGAAATCTATTGCAATTAAGGTTCTGGGCACGTGTTTTTATTAAAGTGTTATGTGCCTGATTATTCCATTATCTTCATGAATTTGTGTAAATTGAACTTATAATTATTTCGACACCATTTAATCGATGCTGATGAAATGTATAATAAGCAGGCATGTATCTTATACATTAAATCGCACCCAACATTGAAAATCATGTATCTATAAACAGCACATCACATATTCAAATAGAAAAAAGCATCTCGTATCGCTGCAGTGCAAACATCAATTTTACGCTCTCAAGCCGACTCCTTTGACGACGCTGATTTGTCAGTTGAATCAGTTAGCGTTCCCAATTGCGTTGGGGACAGCTACGCAGTGCAAGAATTGCAGTGAAAACGCTGTAGCGACTGTGTAGGATTCTATGGAAACCAGGCTTTATAGGAATATGTTATTCAGAGCGTCAGTGTGTGTATGTTTGTCTTGAATATGGCAAATTCAGGCATTGTGCATTAAAAAAAAAAAAAAAAAACGAATCCAAATAAACAAAAAGTCAGTTAACATTGAGAAAGCGTAAACATGCTCTCACTGCTACATTATTGGTCACCTTCAAGCACCACTACACTTTCCACTAATTCTAGAGAGATGTTTTACTACATACATCCTACTTTAATAATAATAATAATATTGTAGTTTTGTATAGCGCATATATCCATCAAATAAGATGCTCAGGGCGCTTGATTTTTGTACATCATATTCTTCTATATCGCGTGCAACCTAAGTTTCTTCGGCTTTACATTAAAAATTGGACATTGCCGAATATCTGATGTAGATGTAGATACAGAATACAGAATCGTTATTGATTTTTATTAATTTTGTTTATGTAGGCATCAAAGCGCCGTAAATGTTTTTCAGCAAAAACCAAAGACGACAAACTTTTTAATTAATTAGTATTTTATATAAAATGCTGAATAATAGATAAACATTTTATCTTTAAACTTAAACGTTATAAAATCTGTGTCCGCTAACATAAGTAATGAAATAAAGGTTTACTGTAGCGTTTTATTGCAGCAAAAAAAAAAAAAAAGTGACTATTGGACCATAAGCGAATAAGAAAAGATAGCAGATTAGCACTCCGCCTACCTCTTCACAAGGATGGAAGGCACCCTACGATACGTTTACTTAGAGGTGTATAAGACTAATGTAACAGCATAGAACTAGTAAGTAGTAGTAATAAATGCACTATTATACTTATATTAATAGAGCCATAGTAATATGTATCTATTGCATTTAGTTCATTTAAATAGTTGTATTTGATTGGTTAGTTAATATCTCGCTTCTCATTTTCAGACGTTAATCTTTATAAATCTTTCATTTCTTGATTAAATATAGAATCAAACTGTCGTTCCTTTTAGCTTTGTACGATACACCAACAGATCCAGCAAACAGTAACACAGCTTTTCAACTGGGTTGTTTAGACACAATCTTTACAGATGACATAAGATCTTTCAAATCGAGATATCTTGAATTCGTTTCCACGTAATAGAGTACAGTGACAGCAACTTAATTAGTACAATCCAGTTCACAATTTCTATAGTACAGCTTGGTCAATGCACATGCATAGTTTAAATAGGCCTACACTTTTTTTACAAATTCGTCTTTCATCATCCATTAATTAGCATATAAATAAACAGCATAACAGTTTTAATCAGCTTCTGTTGGACTAATTAAACCAATAATCACACTCATTTTTTATAATGTAATATATTCATAATAAAGGCCTACCCTATGTCGCCTTATCATTTGGGACTACTGAAAACTTTATATCCATGGCGGTGTTAACAATGCCCTCGCTATATTCAATAAACCAAATGTCCTAATGATTGAATAATATTAGTACATTGCATAAAACTGCAACAGTGAAAGAAACACGTTTCATTATTTCTTTTTATTATTAAACAAACGACAGTAAATTTGGTATGGGAAAACACCTCCATTAGTGATAATTGAAGATAATAATAAATATCTTAGAAAACGTACACTCTCTGCATCCGCCCAAAAATTAAGCCGGGCACCGTTCACACAGCGCCTGACGGTCAACGCCACGACGCGCGCAACGGATCGTTTTTATTGACGATCCGTTTCAGACTGCCACCGACAATCAGCAGGCGGCATCGCGGTCGTCTAGCGCTCTAGGGAGCGGAGTTGGATTCGTCGAATGGTCGTACTACCGTCGTACTACGCAGTGGGAGTCCAATATGTTTTTGGCATAAAAACACACACACACACACACACACAACGTTGACAGGAATTGAATCCTGCCTTTGGAAGGCAAGCATATTAACCACCAAGCTGATAGTAGCTTTGGTATCAAGGAACATGGGACCTCCAAGGATGTATAAAAATATTTTAAATTAAAGCATGGGCCTACATTCTGTTTATTTTGTCCGCTGCATTGGTTTTTCTTCTTGTTACAGATCTCTTGAGAACAACAGCTGACCTTTTTCTTTTACTGATTTTAAATCTTTGGTATCTGCAGGCTTACTTTCCTTTTTATGAATTTTACAAAATGAAAAAAATACAAATATCATTGTCAGATTAAGTAATTAAAGATGACCATGTTGAACTATTTTAATGGTGACCATTTAAAAAATGATGTTTTCTGCCGGTAGAAGACTAAACAAAATGAGATGTTGACATTCATTAATTTTTATGACCAATTTGTTATAACAATAAATATATAGGCCCTAGTGGTAAATTATTGTTGATAATACTAAAAAAAAATCACCAGTAATAACAATAATAATATGTAATAATAACAGTAATAATATTATAAATACAGAGCAGTGGCGGTTTAAAGGGGTGGGGGAAGCCGTCTCCCCCCCCCCCCACACACACCTATATTGTTCAAAAGTTTAAGAAAAATGGAGATATAATGAAATTTATATTCAAATTTTAAGTCTGGAAGTGCAATTTCCGGCCATCTAGATGTGCCAAAATCAGAAATTGTCTTACTTCAGCCCAAACCATGGTGGGGCTGAGGTGGTATAGATCCTTCATCTGTGAAAGTACCTCTCCGGGCCTGGATCCGCCACTGCAGAGTTTCTTTAAAGTCTACACAATCTGTATATTTTTATATACATTATTTTGCACCGAAGCAACGTAAACACAAATAGATAAATAATGCAGAAACACCAGTGCTCGAATACCGGTATAGGAACTTATAATCCTATCAAGCATAGTACTTTAATAAAACTTCTTTATTCGAACACTGTATTTACATTTCTTTGGTGATGATGATTTACATATAATTTAACAGTGTTAACGGCTTTCTTGATTTATATATACATAAGCAAGCAAATAGATATTCAATAACAACAGTGTCAAATAGGAACATGATATTTATATATATATATAGGCCTATATATAGTCTTTAGTCTATAAATCTTTAGAATATATAGTGTATAGGCC